AGATTATCAGCTCGCTGCCTTCAGGAGAGCCTGCCAAGACTGCAGAGAGCGACACCACCGAGGAGGAACCGTTGATCGAGAACCAGGAGTCCTCGGAGGAGGAATTGTCGGAGGAGCTCTCCAAGGTGTACAAGAACATTCGGTCAATCTTGGACGGCAGCAAGACCATTCAGTTGAACCTCGAGTTCCTCTACCGCAACAACCGCACCGACCTGAGCATTCTGAACAAGGTCCGGGACAGCTTGGAGGGTCGCAACTCCATCTTCCACACAGCAGTCACCTTCTGCAACGCTTTCATGAACCAGGGCACCACTAACGACAAGTTTTTCCGCGACAACCTCGAATGGCTTGGAAAGGCCGTCAACTGGTCCAAGTTCACCGCAACCGCAGCTTTGGGTGTCATCCACCGCGGCAACCTGACGCAGTCCCGCAAGCTGCTCGAGCCCTACCTCCCTCGCCAGAGCGGCTTGAGCAGCGGTTCCATCTTTAGCCAGGGTGGTGCTCTCTACGCCTACGGTTTGATCCACGCCAACCACGGCGCCGACGCTCTCGACTACCTCAAGACTCAGTTCACATCCGCCGAGGAGGAGGTCATCCAGCACGGTGGTGCTTTGGGTCTGGGTATTGCAGGCATGGCAACTGGCTCTGAGGAGATCTTCGAGAACCTGCGTACGGTTCTCTTCACCGATTCTGCTCTCAACGGCGAGGCTGTTGGTCTTGCCATGGGTCTCATTATGCTCGGCACCGGCAACGTGCGGGCTTTGGAGGACATGATTACTTACGCCCACGAGACAACCCACGAGAAAATTGTTCGTGGTCTCGCTATTGGTATGGCGTTGATCATGTTCGGCCGCCAAGAAGGTGCCGACGCCATGATCGAGGGTCTGCTCAACGATCCTGATCCTACCTTGAGATATGGTGGTATTATGACTGTTGCTCTCGCCTACTGCGGTACAGGCAGCAACAAGGCCATTCGTAAACTGCTCCACACTGCCGTTAGCGATGTCAACGACGATGTACGCCGTGTCGCCGTCATGAGCTTGGGCTTCATTCTCTTCCGTAAGCCCGGCAGCGTCCCTCGCATGGTCGAGTTGCTCTCCGAGTCGTACAACCCTCACGTGCGTTACGGATCTGCCATGGCGCTGGGTATTTCTTGTGCTGGTACCGGTCTGGACGAGGCCATCGACTTGCTCGAGCCCATGATGAAGGATCCTACCGACTTTGTCCGTCAGGGTGCGCTCATCTCTCTGGCCATGATCATGATCCAGCAGAACGAGGTCATGAACCCCAAGGTCGCTTCTATCCGCAAGACTCTGAAGAAGGTTGTCGGCGATCGCCACGAGGACGCCATGACCAAGTTCGGCGCGTCGCTTGCGCTGGGTATTATCGACGCGGGTGGTCGCAATTGCACCATTGGCCTCCAAACCCAGACCGGAAACCTCAACATGGCCGGCATCGTCGGTATGGCCGTGTTCACCCAGTACTGGTACTGGTTCCCGTTCACCCACTTCCTTTCGCTCGCTTTCTCGCCTACCTCCATCATTGGTCTCGACCACGAACTCGAGATCCCTAACTTCAAGTTCCACTGTGCCACCCGTCCCAGCCTGTTCGACTACCCGCCAGAGCAAGAGGTCAAGGCTGAGGAGGGCCCTACCATGGTCGCAACAGCCGTCTTGTCAACAACTGCCCAGGCCAAGCGCAGAGCTCAGAAGAAGGAGCGTGCTCAGCGTCGCGAGAGCATGGACATTGACTCTGCTAAGCCAACGGTCTCCGATAAGATGGACGTGGACGAGAAGAAGGAAGAGACCAAGGAGAAGAAGGAGGATGAAGCAGGCGAGAAGGAGGCATCTGTAGCTCCGGCCGACACCAAGAAGAAGGCAGAGAAGGAGAAGGTCGGTTACGACATGGAAAACCTGTCTCGTGTGCTTCCGGGCCAGCTCAAGTTCATCAGCTTCCCCGCCGGACGTTACAAGCCGGTCAAGAAGGTAGAGTAGTTCCCAACCCCCCGACTGCAAGATGTTTTACTGACTCTCAATCAGCCTACCGGAGGACCTCTGCTTCTGCAGGACACGCAGCCTGATGAGGAGAAGACGCTCATCGAAGAGAAGTTGAAGAAGGTGACAACAGAAAAGGCCCCGGTGGCTGGCCAGAGCAATGCCGGCGGATCATCTGCAGGCTTGACGCCACGTCAACAGCAAAACATCATCTCTCAGGCCCTTAGAGCCAGTGCTGGTGGTGATCTTCGCTCGCTGAACGAGCTTAGCGAGCTCTTGGGTCGGCAAAGAAGAGGTGATCTCGCGGGCGCAACTGACGAAGGAGGGGCGGCGGCTGCTGCAGGAGTGCTCACGGCAGTTGATGAGGATGGCGAGGGAGACCAAGAGGCAGACGTTCCGCGAGAGTTTGAATACTTCACGGACAACGAGGAGGAAGATGACGAGGAGTAGCCATTCTCGCAAGACAACCACCAGTATTTGTGACTCAGTTTTTGAGACCGCAGCGGTGTTTAGAGCATAGAAGAGGGACGGCGTAGAGGTAGTTGACTGCCATTCTGCCAAGGACAGTCGGGGGCAAAAAAGACTTTGCCAGGCTGTACAATAGTGTAACAATCGAGTTATTCAGAGGTTACTTCCTATACGCACCGATACCCGTGGACTTGACGCTCGATGCGACAAAGTAACTACGGCCAATGTTTGAATGAATCTTGACATCTGAAAGACGAGTATCAACAAAGTAGTAAAGCCAGTGCCAGTCTCCTATCTTGACAGTAAACTGTCGAGGTGTAGCAGTGTTTTCGTACATGGCGCTTCGGCTTTCCTAAAGCAATAATAAGCAGCTGTTTTGCCAGCAACGCAGACGACTCGCGGAAAACCTTGTGGGGAACCCCACGTTTCCCCTCTTACATCGTCAAGCTGGAGAGTACTTGACAGTGACACTATGACTTGGTACGTTTCCTTTCCGGTTTACGCACGAAGCCAGCCCGCTTCTTCTACCGTTAAGGTACAGCCAAGCTGACAGCTGTCTGCAAATTTCTGGTGGTCACGCAGGGAGACGCGTTTAAGGTGCGCTTGCGTTTCCCCGTTTCCTTGTTTCCCCGTATCGGAAGCTCAGGAGCGGTGCATGCAACACCTCATGATCTCTTCTGATGGCATGTACGTTGTCCGTGACCCCTTGTTCGAGGTTCACGCTTCGTATACTATACGCAGGTCCTCCCTACCGCAACACCATGGGGAGAGGAGTGCGGGGTGTCCGGTCTTCCTCCGAGCTCCCCTTACCTGACCTTAGCTAAGAGAGACCAAAAGACCCTCCCACCTCAAGGTACTCACTCTTCCGCGTGCTCTAGCCTCCAACCCAAGTAGTCCATATCCATAGCTGAAGCCGGCGGGAGAGAGAAATCTCGCCTTACTTGAAGGAGTCCTCAACACCTACTGTCTCCCCCGCGATTCCTTCTCAACACATCGTCTCTTTGAAACCACATCACTCAAGCCGACTGTCTTATGTAAAAGTGAAATCTGTATCCTGAATTACCTTCCAGCTTTGAGAGTTTTCTTCGATTCACTGCCACTTCATTGCCACAGCACATTGCCTTGCATTGATACTGCCCACACGCAGCTATTACTACCCGTCATGGCCCAATCCAACTCCCTTTTGGACACGTTGAGAACCGTGAGCCAGGTCGACTGTGATACTCTCGACGTTGAAGGTAAGAGCCTTCCTTCATGACCCAATGCATTCGGTTCTGATCTTGCTTTAGTTGCCAAAGAGCTGGGTCCTTTTGTCGACCACACTTCCAACCAGGCTATCGCCTATGGCGAGCTCACCAAGACCACCGCAGATGGCAAACTGTACCACGAGCAGCTCATCCGGGACTCTGTAAAGGATGCCCAGGGCTGGGCCCATGCGGCCTGGCCGGACATTGACCCGATTCTTCTCGCAGTCGAGATTATGGTACCTTGGCTTGGCGAAGCTCTTGATAATAGCGTCCACCTTCGCTAACATGTCTGTAGATGGTCAGACTTTCACTCAAATTCATCCCGTACTTGACAGGGTATTTCCACATCCAAACCAACACAGACTGGTCTTATTCGGTCGAGAAAACCGTCAAGAATGCCGAGAGTATGTTGCCAAACAGGGCTTGTAATGGTCAAAACTGACCGCGCTGTTCTGCTCTGCAGGAATTGTTGAGACCTTCAAGAAGGTTGAGCCTAGTCTCGACGCGAAGCGTGTCTGTATCAAGATCCCGTCCACTTACGAGGGCATTGCCGCCTGCAGAATCCTCGAGAACAAGGGGATTGCAACACTGGCGACAACCATGTTTTGTATGGAGCAAGCGGCCCTGGCTGCCGATGCCGGCTGCACCTACATTGCGCCGTATGTGAACGAGCTAAAGGTTCACTTCGTCCCTGGGTAAGAGTCATCCCAAATACAATTCGGACACCGCGAACCGAGCCGAATTGAATGACTGACGCTTATGCGCCCTTAGTTACGTGGACGAGAACAAGGCCTTCAACTTCTGCAGGCAGGCGCAGGCGTACTATGTCGAGACGAAGGCCAAGACCCAGGTACTGGCAGCTAGTTTGACCACCGTGCCCGAGGTGATGCAATTGGCTGGCATTCAGCACGTCACCGTCTCGCCGCCGCTCCTCAGGGCTCTTGCGGCAGCGCCGTCCTCACAGTGGACGGAAAAGGTCGGTGGCTACTTTGCAGACGGGCCAGACGAGCGATGGGTCAAGGACTTCCAGGCTGCTCTAAAGGACGAGAGCGAGTGGCGGTTTGCTTTTACTCGTAGCGGTAACGGCAGGTATGAGGAGAAGCTCATCCAGGCCATCAATATCTTCTCCGAGAAGCAGCAGAGTCTGGAGGAGCTGGCGCGGAGCTCCTTGTAAATGAACACCTGCTAATTATAGAGCTACCGTTTGCAAGTTCAAGGCGTAGACAGGGCGATCATGCATCGGGAAAATTTTCAATCCCGACTTTGATTATTGCAGTAAGTAATTCGATGCTGCCTTACTTAGAAGTGTCCGTCTATCAATACTTTGAACTTAATAAACATCCGTAACGTCTTCCTCCTCCTCCTTCTTGTTCCTCACTGGATATCAAACAACACCCTCCCTACGCCATTACCAATGCCCTCCTCTTCCTGGTGCTTGCTGCATAAATGCAGCAAAGTCAGTACCGGCGAAAGGAGACGCTGGCACTTCCCTCACATCAGCATTTTGCCTAGAGTCGTCGAACACCGGGCGCCGAGAACGGAGCGCTTCCTTTCCAACCCAGCTCAGATAGACAGTCTCATGGACCTGTATTAGATCGGTCCCAATGCCGGCCTCAGAGCCCTGGCTGCTTCCTTGTGCCGGTTCAAACTCTGGCTTCTTCTCCACGACAAACACTCTATGATCCTTCCTCTCGATATAGCGAGCGACAAGAACGAAGCCAATGAACCATGCAACGCCCAGAGTGATGATGATCCATGAGACCGTGGGAACCAGCCACCAATCCAGCTGTGTAGATAGTTGTCCCGAAGGATGAACCCAGTTAGTGATCACCGGGAAAAGCCCGCCGCACATGTATACGAAGGCGCAGAAGACGGACAGGAAGGGGCGGAAACGCTTTCCAGTCATCTCGGCCCAAGTGAGCGGCGGCGGTGGCGTGTCTTTTCCAAACGTAGAAGCGTCATCGTCGGCAAGGGTAGTCGGAGGTCCACGGAACCGCAGGATGAGAATGCCCAACCCTAGGAAGGTCCCGATGAAGGCGTTGATGACGTAGGCGCTCAGAGATGTCAGCAAGATGTAGGCGTTTGTCGGTTCCATCTTGTAGGTTGCAAAGATCAGGATAGTACAGCTGACGAAATGGAGAAGCAAGGCGCCGACGGGAGTTTTCTCGCTGTGGTGCTCTGGCGAGAGCCATTTCAGTCGGAGAACCGATGAGAACCATCCCTTCCTCTGGAACCAGCGCAGTACCCGGCCGATGCTCATATCTGTATTCTGTGCGAAGAACTTGGGCCACGGAAGCATTCCCTAGTCGGTGTAAGTCTCGACTCTTCTCGTAGATTACATGTTGAGGTTTCACTTACCTCTTTGGCAATCTCCTGCTTCACTCTAGCAGCTGTGTATGTCTGTGAGAATGTCAGCGGCCATGTCGCCTACAATGAAAAGAGTTGACTGACCATGACGATGATGTTTCCCAAAGATGAGATGGCAAGAAACGCGTTGAAGATCCGAGCCCCAAGGTCGCTTTCTGGTTCAAGGGTCTGAAATGTGAGTTCGAAGAACTTTTGAGCCACGTTCGCGTTGATCTGGTCATCTTTTGGGACGACTACCATCTATCTCGATATCAGAAAAAGTCCCTCTTTACTTGCAAGAGCTACGCGGCTCAACTTACATAGCAAATGTTTACGACAAGGTAAAGCGTCACAACGGTACCAACACCGGCACCCATGGCGACTGGGAACTTCTTCTTGGGCCTGCTAATCTCCCCAAGAACATAGTTTGGTTGCTCGAAGCCGGAGAAGCTGAAGATGATGGCGAGAAACGCTTGGGCGTAGCTGTTGGCTTCGTTTGACGCATTTTTGAAGGAGGTCTCGGGCGAAGTGTTTTTGTCGAAAACGTTGTTGGCGCCTGGGAATCCTTTCGTGGCCACGACAATCGTCGCCACAATGATAAGAAGCATAGTCAAGATTTTGACGACCGCGAGGACGTTGTTGAGCAAGATTCCTCCACGTCGGGAGAAAGCATGAATCCCACAAGAGAATGTAGCAACCGCAAGAGCGATGCCGCGAACAGGACCATTCTCTGGTTTTACGTCGGCGGCTTCGAGAAGTCGGATGGCAAAGTGAATGCTGTTGCCAGCCATGTTTCCTAGAACAATGAAACTGATGCCGAATATACAAGTCGACAAGAGTAACGTGTTCTTCCGGTACGCTGGCTTGCGGAAGACGTATTGTAGATAGACGAGATCACCACCGCTTCGTGGAACGCTTTGATCCTGCCCGTTGATCAGGTATCTGGGCACGTTCAAGCCGTACTCAATGTACACATGAGTCCCGCAAAGACAATAGATTATACCGGCCACCCAGAGGAGGAGAGTTGCACCGACACTTCGTGTGCCTTTCATTACTCTTTGCGGGGACATGAAGATACCGGTTCCTGAATTTGCCATCTAGTTTAGCACTCTATTGGTCCATACCAGGAGCTGAAGTGAGTTGTTGCCCACGATGATTGTCTTCGCATAATTTTTCCGGTAGCAACCTCGAGACAAGATATCAAACACAGGATGGGCGGGGAAGAGAGACAGCACAGTGAAACGAGTGCCCCCATGTAACACAGAATTCAACGCATGCCCTGATGGAGAGGATCAAGAGCCGGAGTGAATCAAACATCTCGGTGCTGAAAGACTTCTGCATCAACGGGTAAAGAATTAAACCACTCACCAATCATACGGTTGATGACTAGACAAGCAACGTCGAAATATCCCAGTCGAAAGCCCTCCTTCGGGGCATGCGTGACGATGCCATTGCCGTCACTGATTGGATCAATCACCTCGTCAATATCACTGTGTACTGAAGCCTCTTCGGCACTCCGTGGCTCTTGGTAAAAACCAACGGAGCTGGGAAAGTCGTTCATCTTTGAAGATGTGTTGGTCAGGAAGAATGCAAGTGGTGAGTCCGAGCCTTGCGGTCGCTCCGCAGCAGGAGATCAACGCGATATCCGTATCTCTTGCTATCCTAAGATACATGGCAAACAAGGCCGCCATGGGTGTCTTCACATTATGTATGGCACACTTCTACCGGCTCGCGGGTGTGTGTGACGAGCTGCTGCTGGCATGCACGTCGGGCGTAATCTAGAAACAGCACGCAACTGGGGCGCGCACCACAGAGCGGACAGGCAGGCAGACTCGGCCATGGGTTGACAATGGCTCGCATGCATGCCGAGGCAGCCACTATCTAAGACGAGGGCTGGTCGTGTCACTCGCGTCTAGACAGCCTCGTCCAGAAATATGCCTTGCAAGGCATGTCTGAGGTCTTTTCTTTCTTTGCGCGCATTTGGGCACATGGAGTCTCAAAAACGTGTTAGCAACTTACCAAGACTCTAGCGTCTGCAGGCAACTGTCAAGCTGTACGTGATCTAGTAGATGGTTTAGTCTCAGCCGTCGAGTGATCATAGGCCTGGCGAAGCGAGCACGAATAGGAAGAGTCCCGGGAAGACTCAAGGTGACACCCCGTCTGACCCATACCCCGAGGTTGGCACGTTGGGAAGTTGTCCAACTTCGAAGCCTTCAATCTGTTCAGCTCACTGCCACCGCCACATGCATTTCACACATGGGCTGAGTGTCGATCATCGTTTTAAGTCAAGGGTGTATAATCGTATTCACTTAAAAGCCCCATCAGAAATTCTTTTAAACGCAGCGATTGCTGGTCCCAACTGATGTTCGCTAAGGTTGCTCCCATCGTACTCTGGCCACGACAGTAGGTGCGATGTAACCACATGCAGACATTTCAGCATCCAGGCTTGGCAGTGAAAGTGCCAGCAACTTAAGATCGATTGGGTTTGTAACTGAATACCTGTATCATCGTCAGAAGGAGAGCAGCCAGCTTTCAGAAGACGACAAACCCCAAGTTTGCGGGGGCTATGACTTTAACAAGGACAAGCTTCTGTCCGATTAGTTCATCCCAATCATTTCAAAATGTGGGTGGCATAGCCGCCCAGTTCAGTAGCTTATCTTGCAACCTTCCACCTCCGCCGCAGACATGCATACCTACCAACAGCTGGGGGTCCATCTATGCAACATAGGTCGACGGGATTGGATGTCATCGTAGGGGTGTCTCGGGTAACTGAGACCGTGTGACAGCCTTTTCCTCCCCCTCCTTTCTGAGCAAGACCCCGGGTTCCATGTGCGGAGGAAATCCGCGCACGGGAATAGATTCAGTTTGCTCGTAATGGATACGTAGTACCTAGGTCAGACGTACATAGCTTCGAAGCCACCCGGGAGGGTCTCTGCGACTCACAGATCCGACTCAAGCTGCTATCGCTTGACCACTGGCAGGCAATGGGCTGCCAAGAGACGACAACCTGAGTTTGTGCTCGGCTGTTCGGTACTGCCACAGTCGACGCGCGCAGACACACACTGCAAGGACGAGAGGCATGCGCCTAAAATGCCAAGCAAGACTGGTTCAGACACCCATACGAGCAGGGAGAAGGCAGAGGAGGTCATTTTCCCCTGCTGCCTGCATGGATGCCCACACCATCCCTTCTCTCTCGGTGTCGATTTAGAGCTGTCTGGGCCGGCGAACTCAGACTTGGGTTGGTCTAAGGCAACAAACACAGAAACCTATGCTCATGCTGTCCCTAGGTACTGGACTCTATCTTCCTCTGCGCCCGCCTTCTGTGCCTCTTTAGCTGTCCGACTGGGTAGGTTGTCGCTGCTTCCACTTGTGCTTATTCCGCATGCTCGTTCCTAGTCCTCCTGCCCACCCCTGCGTTCCTTGGAGCGGCTCGCTCTCACCTCTGTGACATGTCCACGTCTTGGTGGCGTCTATGGTTACTCTGTCATGTGCTCCCACCCTGCAGTCAGGCTTTACTTCAAATCTGTCTTCGTTCCCCTCACCTACTTCGCTTCTCAGCCCTCTTGGTGAAGCCCGCTTTTGGGAATTTCCATTAGTCGTCTTCCTCACACGCATTGACACCATCGTCCCTTCAATGCCAATCATCTTATAAGGCGCATTTGACAGAAGAATTACCTGTCTCTTGCCTCGTTAACCCCAATGGCGGGGCCAATCCAGCTGGGGGATGTCATCAACTTCAGCAAGCTCGCGTGGGACGTGTACAAGTTTGGTTGGGATAATGACTTCAACGCCAGTGAGTTCCTCGGCGCAAGGAATGCCACTTTCTTAGGCTGCCACTCTCATCATCATGACATTCTTCACATGTAGAGCTCTATTTGAAAATGGGTATCTGGTGTTTCTTTGGACACTGTTGGCGCCCTATAACAGTAGCCATGACTCAACTCAAGGAAACCTGCAATCCCAGATGCCAGCACTGACTTACGGTGATTGCAGCCCGGCAATACGCAGAGTTCGGTCGCGATGTCAGGGGATTGGCTGAGAACCTCGATATCCTCAGCCGCGTAGTAGACAAGGCCGGCCAGTCACTCCACCAAGAAAGGGCGTTCCAGCTTGAGCCATTACGCTGGGACCGTTCGTCCCTCGATGAGATCATAGGCGACTACCATGAGACTCTCACAGAATGCTGTACCCTGATAGAGAACAATCATCGCTACCGCCTCAGCAGCGGCCCGCTGAGGAATATCGAGTGGAATGTTCTCGTGGCGCCGGCGGCAGATCGTCTACGAGCGCGCATAGCCTTACATAATTCCAAGGTTCTTCACGTTCTGAAGCCGTTTGAGATGTAAGAATCCACATATTCACTACCAGTCGGTTCGGAGCACTAACCGCACCAGCGACCTTCTTTGTCGGATCCATGAAGATCTCGCCGAACGTATGAGTGCTATGCACCTTGACTTACGTCGCTTTATGGGGGTTCTCGTGCCTGATATGGAGCAGGCCCTGGCCCAGCAGGCTCACCGGGAATCTTTTCAGTTTGAAGTGCCGCCAAGTGTCGAGGATGGATTTCAGCGAGCATGGACGGCTGACAGACCGGATGACGCTCTCGAACCAAGTCTCCAGGCGATGGCGGATGCTTTCGTTCTTCATTACCACAAATCAACCATCGGGTTTACTGCCGGTATCCTGGTGGAAAATAGGGTTCCCGAGCTGGGGCAATATATCAATCTTTTGAAGTGTGTCTGGCTGATGAGACGGATCCGTGGTTCGACCGAAGTCGCTCAGCCGGGTCCGACCTTATCCCATTGGCCCTCGTACATCCAGGAGCTAGAAGATGTAAGTCGAGTCTCCAGCCTCATGCTACACTGACTAGTACTGACATTTGCTAGGGTCTTGCGTCGCAATGCGATCGATTCAGGCAAGAGCTCATGCCACCAAGTCTAGCAGGTTCAACACCTGAGATGTTCGAAATATGGCCCGAGAAAGAGCTTGCGCAGCTCGTGGACGTGGTGACCAGGGATGCTCTCATGGAAGAGGTCATGGATGTGTAAGTTCGTTCTAATACCAGGCCCTGACGCAATGTGGGCGGCTACTGATACCAGTTTCATACCAGACCGTTACAGTGCGCCACTGCTAATGTTGAGAGGAAGCTTCAGCTGCTTCGACGAATGGGTGCCGATGACAAACGCTTCAGGATAAACATCTCAGGCGTCGAGCTAGGGGGGACGAGTAGGAATGCACGTCGTCAAGGTATAAACTCCCCAGTTAGATAACATTGAACATGTGTTAACGTCCAATAGCTGAGACCATTGATTTCGACATCACGACTGTCATACTAAACCCCCTTTATGCTGTGCCATCCAACTCTGGCGGCGCATGGGACATGATATTGCGCAAGGATGAACGGATTGCCAAGCTGGCATTTACGCAGTTGAAAGATGCTGCCAAGTTCCAACAAGCTGTGACTGGTTTCAAGGCGTTTGATAGTTATTGCCAGTAAGCATAATAGACCCATACGCTGACCAGTGCCAACAACTTACAATACCGATAGATATAAGGCTATGGTTAGCTTCGTCGTGTCTGGGAGAGGAGATCCGATCGTCGAGGGAGCGTGTATACAGTTGTGGGTTCCAAAGCAACTCGATGGACAACTCGTTACGAACAACGAGGCGACGCTCGAGCAAACCACATCACCATCCCAGTCTGGGGTATTTTCGCCATCTAGCACAGCATCGAGACAGAGTACTCTCCGCAGCGTATGGAGCACCGCAAATCCAGTCACCACTAGCCCTACCGAGACTGTGTCAACGTGGATTAATAGCGGTCCACCGGCTGTAGGCGCATCACGGAGTCGTTCGGTGCCATCACCGCCGACAATCACCGGCCCGCTTGGAGCTCGGTCTCCCATGATGATACCGAGACGGCCAGTGGGGTCGGGCAGCACGCAGACAACGGCAGCGTCACCACCCAGTGCTAACCGGCAGGCAATGTTGTCAACATCGCCTGCAAGCCCTCGATCTTCATCTCTGCTCCCGGGATCATGGCAGTCAAGGGCACCATCCGTATCAACGGTCAACAGCCGACCTGATCGGACCTTTAGCGTCTCAAGCAATTACTCGACTACGACATCACCCTCAAACAACAGTTCAAGTGGAAGCGACGCGCACACCGTGACCGTAACCATAGGCGGGCACACGACTGGCACTGTCCATAGGCGCCCTCCCAAGCCAATGCTGGTGCTGTTCACGCAGAACATGCAGACAGGAAAGCGAGCATTGGTGACTATCGACATTGACGAAGACACCGATGTCAACCCAGACCGGTGCAACTGCCGCCGATCAGGAAGAGACGGATCGTCATGTCAGATTGCTGCCATTGAGCAGGATCGGGGCAACGCCGAGCTATCGGTGCGAAGATATGAAAGCCGAGACGACGACATGGACTGGAATCTGGCCAAGTTGGCACTGGGACGGCGAGGGGAGAAGGAGTACGCTGCTGCTGTCTGGAAGGACGTCCGGCGCATCAGCATCATGTTCCCGAGTTCCCAAGACAGGGCAAAGTTCGGAGGCACGCCGAATGTATGCCAGTGCAGTACGATAACAGAAGCCGAACTGAGCAAGTGTCTCAAGAATAAACACAAGGGGTTGCTTGGACTGGTCCGGGAATCTGGACGGCAGCAGCTGAACGAATATCATCGGGTACGATTCGGGTCGCAACAGGACGTGGTCCGTGGGATGAGAGACGACTATCGATGACAACTTCTCGAAGACGTTTCGATCAAAGGGTAATGTGATTGAGTTGTACATAAGCGAGCGAGTCGAGGAGGCGCCAAAGTTGGGTATCCTGGCATCTTGGGATCGCGATTTCGTTCCTTTTGGTGTTACGGCGTCGATGACAATGATGAAGCAAGCGATGCGCCTGTATGTATCTGGTCGAACGAGTAAGATGGGAGGGATCTAGAAGAGAATATTCGCCAAGTCCTAGAGAAAAAGTTGGAGAAAGAGACACCTCGTGGTGCCGTATCTTGAGGAGAGGATCAGGTAGGAAGCTTTGCTTCAGCCTTTGTGAGCCGGGACCATCTCTTTCTTTCGTCAACAACTAGTAATAGATAGCTTCGCGCGCATATGAATGAGTGGCATATCCAGTCAGATGTCGCAATTAGTTCGATAGCTCATTATCCCCTCGACTTACTTGATCGAATCGAAACAAATTAAGTTTTTCGTTATCGAAAACGACAGTTTCGCAAAGTGGGATAGGTAATGGATTAGAGTAGCCGTGAATCCGTGATGGTTCAGCTGTCCGAACCGGAGATAACCTCAGACTCGCTGGCGAGCTTCCTGAGGTCTCTTCGGCGAGGCCCTTCATGGGGGCTCTCCCTTGCTGTCGGAGCCCGCCGATGGCAGACAGAAGCTCTCTGGTGTCTCTGCTGTTTCTGGTAGGGAGCGACGCGTTTATTGCAATGCTTTATCCCGACCAGCCGTGCCGAAGAGCTGCATCTCCGAGTCTCGGCAGCAGACTAAGCCAATAAAATCGGCGCTGTGTCGCGGGTGTCGACGCCTCTATCTCCCGGGATTCCCTCCTTGACTCGATTGGGTTGCTTTCTTATCTCTACGGGGACTTGGTATGCAATTCTCTGTGGTGCCTGGGTGGCCTGGTCAGGTCTTATCTTTACGCCAGTCCGGATCTAAGCAGACGGTCTGCTTCTTTGGGGCTCTTGGGGGCGGCTCTGGCATGGCGTCCGTCAGAAGGTGTGTCGCGTAAACTTAAGTCTGCCCATAACCTTTCGGTGTGTATAGGTGAAGGCTGGCCAAGTGGCGTCAGATGAGTGTGAAGCTGAGGCAAAGCAACATTGTGTGCTTCTTGAAGTATCGAAGAGTCTGAGGCTGAAGGTGACGAACACTATCCGTAGACAAGGGGAAACCGTTATTCGCGCACGAACCATCTCTAATATTACCCACGAGCGACTCTTATCAGGGTACACCCAAGTTGCCAATTTCTCAATGGCATGATGAACTTCTCTACTGCACCACAGGTCGTGTTTGTCTCGCCACCGTTTTGAATCAAGAAGAATAAGCCGTGGAAACGGCAACTTGATCTGGCCGGCGGCGAGCAGCGGCCGTGGAAGTTCGCGGCGGGACGAAACATTGAGAGTTCATCATCCGCCGAGAAGATGGATGATTATTGAAACAACTGTGCTGAGAGTCGGAACCCCCGCGGAGATCACACAAGGCGAGCCGCTGGCAGTTGAGCTGATCCATCATCTCGCTCCCTGGCGCCGCATGTCGCACTTCGCAGCTCGCCGCATCTCTCTATTACTCCGTAGCTCGGTTCTCCCGGGTCCATGTAGGATGTGCCCGAAAGAGCACTCGAAGAATGAAGGCGGGATTCTCCTAGTGTGCCACGCGGGAGCGATGCCGGGGAGTTCCCCCACACTCAGGCCCTCCCACACCCCCAAGAAGTCGTCGACGTTGGTTCTGATGGGTGCTCCGGATACTTTGCAGTAGCGCCATTGCTGTTGTTGGGTCGCTGCATCAGACATGATGGAACATGTCACTAGCACGATACCAAGTTGTAGTCTACAGTAGTTGTTTGCTCTCTCTCTCTCTCTCTCTCTCTCTCTCTGTCGAGACTTGACATGCCATCTACATCATGACGGGCTGTGTGTTCAGTAACAGATGAATGTATCTCCAGATGCTCTCTTTCTCTCTGTCTCTGGCCACCCCTTGTTACTGGCAACCCACGCTCTCTCCCTTCAACCCCCATTCATCCAGTTCCAGGCCCGTGTCTGGAAACAGCCGGTGTTACTCTGGACTCGACCGTCAATCTTCTGCTCGCCCGGCACCCTCTCGAGTCTCTCAGCTACGCACCCAGGCGACACCCTACGCCAGAACCGGGCCCGCTCCTCTGGGGATACACATTTTTTTTACTATCGCCAGCCATTCACGTCGTTCCGAGCCGCTTATCCCACTGATAGCGGCTGAAGCTAATTGCTCGATACCATCAACTAAAAGGATCTCACCCATGCAAACAATGATCGAGTCAGATTGATATATAAAGAGAGATCCACAACCCTGCCTTTTGCTGGTGAATTTCGTGGATACCATCGGGTTAAATTCTTTTGCTTTGCTTTGCCTTGCCTTGCCTTACCTTGTCTGCATCGTCGACGAGTCCAACTCCGCCTCTTCTAATCAGAAAGCCGACGTGATCTTGGCCAATTACGGTCCCGCCAGCACTGAGTACCGATTGCACAACGCAAAACGACGGCGACATCATGGATGAAGATCAGGGTCCATCCCAAATCGTCCCTGGGACAGCTCCCAAGCGGACGATGGGAGACCGCCTTCGCAGTACCAAGAACAGATTCTTCACCAAGGACGGCTTGATTGGCGACTACGACTATGCTTTCCTGTTTACCCCGAACTTGCCATTCATGAGGAAGAGTCGCAAGGCCGCTCCCTTCTTTGGCTTGAACGACCGGATGCCTACGCTCTTGGCCATGTTGCTAGGATTTCAGCATGCCCTCGCCATGTTGGCCGGCATCATCACGCCGCCTATCTTACTGAGCGGCGCTGCAGGTGCCAATCTCACTGGGGAGATGCAACAGTACCTTGTCTCAACAGCTCTGATTGTGTCCGGCTTGTTGTCCATGATCCAGATCACCAGATTCCATATCCTGAAGACTCCGTAAGAAGAAGAAATGCATCCCTGCTGTGGGGCATTTAAGCTTATATCTTCATGTAGCTATTATATCGGAACTGGCTTGATCTCCGTAGTCGGTATCTCCTTTGCCATTATCCCGGTCGCACAGGGAGCCCTCTCGCAAATGTATGCCAACGGTTTCTGCCCGATGGATGGCGAGGGAAACAAGCTCCCGTGCCCTGATGGATACGGCGGTGAGTCTTACTCTTGTGCCTTTCAGCATAAATTGCCCAACTGACAGAGTGAAGCCATCATCGGCTCCAGTGCCCTTTGCGCTCTGATCGAAATCGCCATCTCCTTCATGCCGCCAAAGGTGATGCTTCGCATTTTCCCGCCCATCGTGACTGGCCCGACAGGTAAGCTCCTGCAACGTATAGATCCGTGAGAGAACTCCAGATATCTGACATGTGCTCTCAGTCATGCTCATCGGCATTCACTTGATCGAGACTGGTTTCCAGAACTGGATGGGTGGCTCCGGCCCTTGTGCCAACCCAACTTCCGACTTCTTTGCCCGGTGCCCCAACATCTCCGCGCCTCATGCCCTTCCCTGGGGCTCCGCTGAGTACTTGGGCTTGGGATTCTCCGTCTTTGTCACTATCATTCTCTGCGAGCGATTCGGCGCGCCCATCATGAAGTCGACGTCCGTTGTTATTGGCCTCCTCGTTGGTGAGTAGCAGTCCCGTATCTTTCGCCATGCCATTATGTTCTGTTGCTGAACTGCTCTCAGGATGCATCATCGCCGCTGCGACTGGCTACTTTGACCGCTCCGGCATCGACAGTGCCCCTGCTGCCTCTTTCATCTGGGTCCACACCTTCAAGCTCACCCTTTACGGGCCGCTCATCCTGTAAGCTTCAAAAAACCTGGGATAGTCGAGCATGAAGAAGCGAAACTAAACACGTCAATAGGCCTTTGCTAGCCGTATATATCATCTGTGCCACTGAAGCCATTGGAGATATCACTGCCACCTGTGATGTCTCTCGCCTCGAGGTTGAGGGCCGTCTCTTCGAGTCCCGTATCCAAGGCGGTGTCCTCGCCGATGGTATCAACGGCGTTCTTGCGGCTCTGATGACCGTCACTCCTATGACAACTGTAAGCTGATGGAATCTGCTCAAATCTGAATTATTTGAACTGACCGGAGAAAGTTTGCCCAAAACAATGGAGTCATCGCTCTCACCCGCTGTGCCAACCGCAGCGCCGGCTACTGCTGGTATATTTCCTTCATCCAATTCTCCAAAGCCTCTCGGCTAATAATATCTTAGCTGCTTCTTCCTCATTATCATGGGCATCTTCGCCAAATTCGCTGCGTCACTCGTCGCTATCCCTTCGTCCGTCCTTGGGGGTATGACCTCGTTCCTCTTCACGGCTGTCGCCGTCTCCGGTATGGCCATCATCACAAAGGGCGTGCCTTTCAACCGACGAAACCGCTTCATCTTGACCGCTGGTCTTACACTCGGCTACGGCGCCACCCTCGTGCCTACTTACTTCGACAACGTCTTTACGTATGCGGGTGACAACCGCGGTCTGAGGGGGTTCCTCGACGCCATCGTACTCATCATGGAGACGGGCTTCGCTATCACGGCCTTCGTCTGCATGTTCCTCAACTTTGTGCTCGACGAGGAGATTGAGGACACAGAGGGCCACGACGTCATCCCCACCACTGGAATCGTCACTCCCAAGGACGTCAACGGCGGAGAGAGTGCGCGTGGAGCTGATTCGGAGGATATCCAGCCTATTGGGCACAACACCAGCGGCAAGCGTGATGAGAAATTGTCTTGAAGCTGAGCATTGTGGTTTGGCATACTTAGATGGTGCTGCGGTGTTGCATTAAAAGCCGAGGTTTTGTGCGTTTGAATGTGTTTTCGGTCATGTATGAAGTATGAATACCCACCCTCACTGTCTTGAATTCATCCCAAGCGATTGTTCTGCAAGTCAAGCATCTTACCGCAACGAGAATTCACTGTTCCCCTTGATTGGAGTATCTGGTGACATTGCGCCTGACTACTGGTATTCAACACCGTATAAGTGCGAGGACATCGAGATTTGATGGTTTCAGCATCACGGGTCATCAAGTTCATCAAGGTAGGCAAGTGGCGATCGAATTGACGCCACAGAAAGCTATCCTTCGGATACATGGAGTCTCATGCAGATGCTGCATCGTCGCCTCAACAACGCCACCCTAGGTAGTTTCGGTTAACAGTTGGTCTTCCTTCGCACAGGCGGAAGAGCAACATCGAGGGTTGATAAGAAGGCCGACGGCAATTGGCCACGCGCATTCCACTCTGGTGCGTCGACCCCCTGGGCTGTTGATCGAGTGCCTGACATCCCTCCATGTCGCCTCGTTATCTTCCTTTCCCCAAAGACCAGGCCATCAGACTCACTTGGTCGACTTGCTTGCCCAAGATAGTCGTTTGAGAACATGGTTGAGTCTCCAACCCCGACCAAGTAATCATTGGCGATATGGCCATGTTCTTTTTGAGGCGCAGGATGCGGAGCTGACCGGAGCCAATCCCGCAAATGCAGGTCGTACAAAGG